GAGTTGGTTGGGGTTGTTCTTGTTCTTGTCGAGTTCCACGGTGTGTACCGCTTGCGTTTCCGCTATGTCTTCCTCCTCATTCATGCCTAGCGCTTCCATTGCCTCCCTTGCGATATTCCTTGCCATTTCTGCCTCTGTTCCCTCTTCCCCTTCGGTTCTCTCTCCTTCTTCTCCATCCTCCCAATCCATCCACTCTATTTCCTCCATTTCTCCTGGTTCCTCCTCTTCGCTTTCGGAATCTGTTTCCTGTACCTGTAGTGCATTATCCACTTTGAATATATTATCGCTTGCTTGCCTGTTTTCCTCCTCGTTCGGCTCTGTTTTTCTCTCTACCCTTGCCGTCTTGACCCTTCGCGTTGCTGCTTGATTCTCCAGCCTCGCCGTTGCCCCTTCGACTTCTATTTCGATCGTGTCCTTTCGATAGTCGTGAACCACGCCGAATAGTGCTTGTAATGGTTTCCCAAACAAGACTTCCCATCCTCCGCCGCTGTCGAATACCTCCAGCGATATGGGTGCTCGCACGCCTTCTACGATTGCTATTCCCGACCACCTACACACCGATGGTATCAGCTGGCCGCTCGCCATCCTGAGCACCGTGTTCGATGGGGCTCCTGCTCCTAGTTGTTGGCGGTTGTTCTCCCATATCCTCTTATCCAATGCCCCCACTAACGCTCCACCGTCGAACAGCATTCTAACTCTGACTTCTCCCCGTATACCTCTTAGTAGCGCTGCGTGCTCAAATGGTTCGCATCCTTCTTTCCCTTTCGTTGCCGTCCCGTACATGTCAATAATGTTGATTCGTTTGTTTGCTGGAATACATGTTATTGGTACGGCGACGGGACCGAGGCATTTCTTTGGCCGCGTTTCCCGGGCTGACTGTTGGCCTTTCACATAGCCAGCCCTCCGCCAAAACCCTCCCTTTCTTGCGCTTTGTTGAACTCTTCGATGGTATATTCCAAGTAATTGACCCCCGCAATGTTTTGACTGGCGGACGATCGCACTCGTCCTAAGTGTCTGCTACATATCGCTCTGAAGGCTCGCTCGTTTCGCGGTATCGGTTCCGCCTTGCAATTCTCGTCGTTCGCTCGATGGGATGGGATGGTCACTTGCCCACATTGGAAGCACTCGCCTGAGCAGAGCTCTGCTGTTCCCGGGCTAAGGGGATACCCTATTTCTTCTAGGGCCGGTCTCCTTTCGCCGCCGTATTGCCGGTTCCACAGCTCGATCAACGTTTGGTAGTACTTTCTTCCGTTTTCATCGTCCGTGGGCGGCTTCATCTTCGCCACCATCTCCTTTAGCTTGCGTAAACCCCCCTCCGATAGCGCGTCACCCCTCTGGTTCGGGTTGAACAAGTTTCCTTTCCCACCTCCACTTGCTCCGAAGATGTCCCCCGCCGGCTTGCTTGGCGTGTTTAGGCTTGTTGTGACCAGTCTCGCCGCCATCTTGGATATTGGGGTTGCTGGGGCCGTTGCTCTTCTCTGGAGTTCTGCTATTTTGTCGTCTCTATCCTTGTCTTTCTGCTGCTTTTCCTTCGCCTCCTTTACATCTTCTCGCAGCTTCGCTCTGTCGACGTCCTTGATCGCTTTCGTGAAGTCGATCCAATTGTTCGGCTCTCGTGGCAGGTTTTTCCGGAGCGGTTCCGGTATCGCATCCCGGACTTGGTATATGTAGCTTGATGTCTTTTCTACACCCGCTTTCCTTGCCAATTCCAGCAGTTTTTGGGCGTATTTGATGTGCGTTGCTACGTCTTGGCCCGCTACCTCGACTGTTCCACCCAACTCGCTTAGTGTGAGTTTCAGCCCGACGAGCTTTTCTTGGTACTCCTGCTTGGTTGGTTCGGCTTCTTCATCCGTTGGAAATTGCGCCAAGAATTCCTTTGTAAAGTCTACGAACTTCGTAATGGGGTTGTTCTTCTGTCGTTCCGTCCACCATTTCGCCGCTGGCGTGCGTGTGGGGAAAGTGGTCCCCTACAGCGTCTAGTCGCTCGCTGTCCGTGTCTCTTTTGAGATCTCTGCTTCGGATTCGGAACTTCCGTATGAACTCCTCGGAATTGACGTTGTTTTTCTCGTCCCTTTCGTCCCCGTAGAACGCGGGCACTGTATTAGCTTCTGACATCGTGGCCGTGCTGATGGTATTCTGCTGGGTTGTTTGTATGGTGGTGTTCGTGTTCTGTGGTATTGGTGCCGGTGATGTGGGTGGCGTGATTGTTGTCTGTCTAGACTGCTGAGATGCTGAAGAGGTAGGCGCTGTTGTCGCGGTTTCTGAGTCTTCGTCTGGAGTCTCTTCTCGGCGGATTCTAAGTCCTCTGACTTGTGCTGCCCAATCTAAACTGGGTGTCGGTGATGACTTCGTGTATCTTCCTTTTTCGTCTCGTTCTCTTCTGTTTGCCAGCTTCTCTACTCTGCTCTGCCGCTGATACTTCTTGGCTTCGGATGCCGCTCTCGTCACCACAATGTGGTAGCTGGGTCGAGCCGCGTGTGGTAGCTAGCTAATGGAATGATGATCTGTGACTCTACGTGACATGATCCGACTACGGCCCGACGCCGGCCTCCCATCACATCGGCGGCGAGATCTACGAACCGTGCGAGCTGGTGGCCACCGACCATACGCCGGCCGGACCGTGCCGGACCCGACCCGCGACCGACGCAGAGTCGAACTTGAAAGCCAATGGCGCAGCTGACGACGACGAGGAGCACCAGCGGGAACGTGTCGCCGGTGCGCCGGGAAAGAGACCGAGCCATAGCCCGGGCGGGAGAGTAAGCTGCGGCGGCCACTGTCCGGCCTGGAGGCTGGCGCAGGGGCGGGCGCGGGTGCAGCATCGACCACGGCCGCGGCCAGTAACTCTTGGCGGGGCCAACGCACCCTTGAGCTCACCGAGACAGCTTGGCCAAGACATCTTGGCACCGTGGTTGACGACGATCAGCACATTTTGATGTGTTTTGATTGAAGCCTCCACGGTGATGCGGACAGGTGATAACGGTCGTCGAGGCGTCGCGGTCGCCGCCATAGTACGGGACATAGCCTCCGCGGAGGGTCCCACGCCCGCCCACGCCACGCCCACGCCATCACGGGCGTGCACGCCCGTTGGCGCAGGCCCACGCCGTTTGGCCACGCCCATGTGCGAGGTCTCGCTCCGATATACTCTTTCTACGACGTCTTCTCGTCTCCCCATATCTCTTTAAGCAGCAGATCTTGCTACTCCAGTCGTTCGTGGAGTCAGGCTGCTGCTTCTACGAGACTTGAAATGCTGTCCCCTCATTGGTGACTTTGCGGCTCTTCCCCATGCATTCCCTACACTTCTAATTAGAAATACCAACCGTATCTCATGCTGCCATAAAACTAAAAGACCATCGTGCAACCACTAGACGCGACTACTTGTTGTCATGTCCGCCGAGGCGCGCACAAGTCGGACCTCCGCCGCCTAGGCCTGCTCGATGACGGCGCCTCGCCAGTTCCAGTCGTGAGGCTACCGACCCCCCGGGCCGCCATACGCACACGTCAAGCGTCAGACGGTACGCGAAGCGCCGATTCCTCGACGAGAACGAGTATATCGTCTTAGCCAATACATTCCAACTTCCGGGTCCATATTCACCAGTGACCGGGCGCACCACAACACGCTCTCCCACTGGGTCGTCTTGAACAGTCCCAGAAGCATGACACCCCTCCTCTGGGCCAGACAGCGAATACCAGCACTAGGGTGAGGAGAAGTATGAGGAATGGATAGTGGAGGACAGCGAGCCGCACTCGCACAGTAACACTCGCGACAGCAACTTGTCAGCAAGTCGGAGGTGTAGATCTCCAGCGAAGCCAATGCCCTTGAGCGCCACATGTTGCCCAGCATTCTCCTCCTCCGTCAACACACTGTCCTCATCGTCGTGGCAGAGGACAGCGCCGCCACCCTCCCGCCCGCAAAGACTCCTCGCAAAAGTCATCCTCGTGTTGCGGCGCAACCTCAGAGTCATTTAGGATTAGGCGACGAAGAGCCTGAGCTGGCCCCGAGACGTGGAGTTTTGATTCGAGAGAGAGTCGCGGAAGGAGTGTCTGGTAAGGGACAATGGTGTTGAAACTTCAGGCGTGGTGGTCAACGCGATCCCCTCCGCGCCTGCATTCTTTTCACCCGGAAGCCACAAAGTCAGCCCCTCCATACTCGTCGCAGTAGGCCAAAGACGCACCGGCACCGAAGATGACCTGCTTCAACTTTCAAGTTCTCCGCCTCAGGAAAACGAGACACGCCTGGAATGCGTGAATCAGCCGGCTACTGTTGACAGTGAGGAAGCGCACGCACAGCGCGGCCCCGTTCCAAGGGCTTTCCTCCACCCGCGCCGCTTCCGGGCCTGGTTCCGCCGCCAGCTTGCCTGGCTGTCATTTGTCTTGTCGCTGTTGTCGCTGACGAGCACACGAAACCAGCTTCAAAGACAACGCAGAAGGAAATCCTGGGCTTTGTAGTTCCGCAGTAACTCGAGCGACAGTCGGAAACTTGACAGGGCAAAAGTCAGAAAACGGAGTCGACAAACAGGCACACTATCGCGCACCTAGCGAACCAGGTCCATCTTTCCTCAATCTTCCCCTATGCTACCGCCCATCTCGGTTCGTATCCTTTGCCTACAAGCACTGGAGGCAGGCGTCATCGCGCGCTAAGAACATCTAGCCCAGGAAAGTTGGCAGTCGGGTCCACGCAGTCAGCCTCGCCAACGCACCGGGAAGCCTGCAGACGTCGAACACGCCGAGCACGGGCCTCGACACGTCGCAGTATGCCCATTCCTCTTAAGAAACTGCGGCGGTCCGTCGTTTTAAAGCAGGGCGACGCTACTAGGGCGGGACATTGAGCGGAAGCACAGATAGAAACTCGGGAGACACACCATAGATGGGTCCCCATGACGAGCTGCATTCGAAGCCTGAGTGCCGCCGGGAGCCCCAGCGCGAAAGAGTAAGCACAGCGTATGTCGTGGTCGAAAAGAGAGGAGCGGCGATCGGCCCGAGGGCATGTGACCTGCCGATCTTGCATCCACACCATGACCAGCCGGAAAGCGCGGGCCCCCTACCTGTGCGGCCGCCTTGTCATCGACATAAAGAGGCTCGAGACGGCATCCTTAAGCCTCAAGACACCGGCAGTCACGCGCGAAAGCCGCCACGTGTCGGTCTTCGCCCGCCTCGATAACGCGATTCTTTTCCAAGGGACGAGCATGGGTTACGGTGGTGGCGGAGCGGAGGAGGGAAAGAGCTGGGGAAGAGATGCGGAGATGGTGTCGAGCCGTTGCGGGAGGTGGGGCAGCGGGTGGACCCGTGCGTCAATGGGTTATCTGTCCTTCTCGCGTTCACTCACCTCTATATGTCTGCAGATTCGCTCGAGAACTTTCATACGCCTTTCGAATCTCTCCCGTACCACCACTTCGTCTCGCTACAACCCCCATTGTCCTCGACACCCATGTTCTTCAACGCTATCGACAAGCAGAACTTACCAAGCACTGTCGTTTCAGGCTGTTGCTGCGCGGATGAGGCGGCCTCCCACAAGCCCGCTATGCCTCTTGCAACTATGTCTCCTGCGACCGGCTCGGCGTCGGGAGCGTTTCCCAACAACCTCACTATTAGCCGCTTTCGCTGACTGCTACGCGCGGGACTAGTTTGCTCTTGAATGAATGACCTTCTGCGGCAATCGTGTGAAGGAGAGTAGGTAGGGACCGGTAGATAGACTTCGGGATGGCAGTGAACTTGAAGAAGGGGATTCCATGGGCAAGACCGAGGTGCGTCTTGAGTGTTTCCGGCATCTGCGCTTTTGCTCACGCTTATTACAGCCTAGCGCATTCAAGCTGCTTCACGATGTCCATACCAATCCCTCTGTCGCCTGAACGCCTCGCCGCCTCCCTGTTGGTCCGCTATCCTTTCAAGTGCTCGACTCCACGGACGCCGGGGCCCCAACTTGAAGTTTCGTTGGCTTCATTGGCGCTGTCGGAGTCTCTTTGTATGGATCGCACTTGCTAACGCTGACGGTCCATCCCATCCGAAGCAGAGACTGCAGCGAACTGGAACGGGGCGATGTGGAAGGAAGGAAAGCGTGGAGGGAGAAAGGAAGCTGGGACACGAAGCTGGAAAAGAGTGTGTCGCCTGTTAGCATGCTATCCCAGAAATCTTACCTTCCAGCGGGTCCTTTACGCCTGTCTTATTCGCTCTCACTATTCCTCTTCCTCCTTTCCCGCAACACAGACGCATCGAAGACGTTGATCCGCGCAGACTATTGACCTGCCGCCTCCCTTCACGATAACCCCCTCTCGCCCAATTCTAGTCCTTTGCGCCACTCATCGCCATCTCGCTGGTCAAAACAGCAAAAATGCCGACCTCGTTCTCTCCCGTGTCATGCTCGGCGTTTGTTGCCGCAACTGCATATGCTCTGCTGCGTCGAAAGCCGTAGTCTCCACGTCGACGTCTAGAAGAAGTTGGCAAGAACCGAGTGCAGGACGGCAAGGTTGCACTGTCGCAATAACAGCAGCGACACCCACGTACCCACGTACCCACCGACAAATTTGGCGCGGTCATTTCCGACTGCGGGGACAGATAGTCGCGGCAATCGCTAGCGGGAGTCGTCTACTTATGCGATGTATACATTTTGCGCTGAACACATTTGCCCAGTTACTATTGGACTTCATTCATCTCTTTCTATCTCGCTCTTTTGCATCATTCCTTGTCACCAATCTCTTTCGCCCGCTCCACGCTACGCGTATTCGAGGGAGAGCCCACCGTTCGGACCGTAAATAACGTCCTGCAGCACGGCAGCGGAGGCAGACGATCCGCGGCCGTCACACAGATGGAGCAACATGCCCGTCAGGCCCTCACGGACCGCCGCGTCACGTAGATTTTTGCGCAGGAAGCCGACCTGCATGGCTTTGACCTCTTCGAACCTGCGCGGACGCGTTAGAATAAGCAATCAGGGACGCTGGACATACATAGCCGTGAAGTTGGAGAACGCCTCGTGTACGATGGTGTCCGCCGACATCTGAGAGCGGATCGACTCGAGCGCGCGGGCTTTGAGGTCCTCGAGGCCATGCTGCATAGTGCTCAAACTTCAGCGACTTCGAGGGCAAGTTGAAACAAAAACGCGCCTTTTCCGCGAGCTTATACATGGATTTCGGGGAGCATTCTGGGGCACCGTCGTCGCGTTTGGCAGGGGGAGAATGACCTTTACCCGCCTTGATCTTGCAGAAGTGGATGTCGCCGGTGTAGAGGTAGGAAAGCAAGGCCTTCCACCTTTCAGAAGCGGTCAGTTTTGATAGATAAAACGGCAGCGATGAGCCACGCACGTATTATATGCGTGGCCTTTGATCACAATGCGGTAGCCGCGACGACCAATAATAGTTTCTGAGTCGTTTACAGCCTGGATTATCTGTGTGCTGGGACCTGCCGCGGACTGTGCCTCGGGCGTTTCGGGGCCTGAACGAGGTGAGACATGCGAAGAGGACGTAATGGGTATCCACCCACCTTCTTCGTCGACAATCATATCCCCGTCGATCGCCTCGTCTTCATCCATGTCGCTGTCAGACATGTAGTCGTACTCCTCGAACGCAGCCTGGGGCGGCTTGTCCGTGGCGATGTCCGTCTGGCCCGACTCTGCAAAACCGCTAAGCAAGTCGTCGATATCTGTCGGCAGCAGGTCAGCGTCGAATATAAGCAGCACGCAGACTTACCTTGGTCAAACTGCTTCGATGTTCCGCGCATAAGCTTGAGGTTCCCGTAGAGCGGGCGCGGATGATACACGTATCCAGTCGCCACACGGGAGTAAAGCCAGAATTTGACGTCGATGAGTTCTCCGCCGTGGATTGTGTCGGCGAGGCAGGCGCGAATGCGGGCGGGGAGCGGCTCTTCGGAGAACGGGAGGCGGGTTCGGATGGTGAGCGGTTGGGGAGGAGCAAAGCCGTGTGCTGCTTCAAAGGAAATGGTGACGGTTAAGACAGCCGGAGGGGTTTCAGATGGGCGCGACCTAGACGACTCCGAGTCGAACTTCCTTCTCAGAGCTTTTACATGGGTCCGGGAACATCTGCCGATGGGCCATCCAGCTGTGGATGGAGGTAGCTCGGTGGGGAGAAGCGGTAGCGTGACAGAAAAGGTGCCAATATCGTATATCTCTGTTCTTAGCCCCGTGGTAGAGAGAGCGCACGATACCCGCCCGTACTTGGCATTCGCTATCAGGTGCGGGTCGAAGTAGACGGTGACTGGTCCATCGGAGCAGTCCCAGGCGAATCGCCAGCCCCAGCCGCATACGTCTGTGGTCCCCGTGAGCGAAGAGGTCGATGAGAAGGTGATGTCGAAGGTGGATTGTACGCCATTCTCCGTCCATGTATCGGGGCACTTTTTGACGAGGGCCATCGATGAGAGTGGGAAGAGACCAGTTTCCGTGGGTACGCACCTCGTGCATGCCCCATGTCTGCGTATTTATAATCGTCTACGGCGTTTGAGAGGGATAACTTTGAAGGCGTGTGATGAAACGAATCCCCCGGCAGGGCATTGTTTCTCTTGGCCACTGCTCGACAGACTCAGTGCAACAGCCGTGCCAACAGCTTGCAGGCCAGCAGCAAGAAGTGCTCGGAGACGCGTAGAGCAGCGGAGTGGGAGTCGGGACTGGAAGGCTGGAAAAGTTGCATCACGAAACCGGCGTGAAGAGACTGAAATAACACACCTTCTCGCCCTGCCGCGGCATCGACCCGCCTGCTCGGCTGGATTGTCGTCGGATTCAAGGGCTGAGAGATGTTAGAGCATGTCAACAGGGCTGAAGAGCCTGAGGAAGAAGGTCAGCGACTTAAGAGAGGGACAAAAATGCCTTTGACGCGCCTTTGGTGGTCCATATGCATGTGTCCCCCCTTCCCGACTCTCTTACGACAATCTATGCGCTCATCCCGCACGCCAGCAAATATATCGAAAGGTGTCCTGTAGATAGAAACGGCTTGAGCACAAAAGTGTCTAAGCGGACTCGGAGCACTTACGCGGGGCTATTAGTGCGCTTATCTTCTCGAGGAGCGAAGTCCTGTCCCGCACAGCGAGACAGGGCGTACGAGGAGGGAGGACTAGGTGGCGGCGGCGGCGGCTCGTCGTGGTGCAGAGTAAAGATCGGCGCTATCACGTGTGACGTGGCGTCGGGCCGATCTCGCCTTCTCTCTTTTCTACCACCACCATCGACGATGCCCGCCGCCGTTGACATCCGCCCTGCGCGCTATCGCACGGCCGCCGTTGGCCTCACGACGATGAAGCTATGCGGAAGGAAACTGACTGGCGGGTTGTGAGCAAATTGTGAGGTGCGTTTTTCGAGAAGCTTCCTTCTCTGCTTTTGCTCACCGTTGCGTCCAGCGTTTGACTACAATGTGCTGTTGGAAGACCTACGGCGGCGCTGCTGGGACTAATGGTGGATGCGCGCGTGGATTAGCTTTCGGATGGCGAATGGAGAGGGGATTTCACGTCTGGGGGAAGGGAGACGGTGCGCGATGCTGTCTTTTTCGTTTTCTTCTAGCGGGGCTTATGCGTATGCTCGCAGGTGCAACTACTCTACACTCGTGCGCTTTGAGCTCGAGCGCGCTTCCCTTTTGCTTCTGGAACGACGCGACACTTTCTGCTCGCCAAACCGAGGATGCTCCTCCGCACCGCCTGCCTGAAATTCTCGTCTCCTCCAAGGCCTTTATACCGTCTCCGAGAACCGACAATAGAATCTTGGACCCATCGCTGGTCGGCTGGACAACGCGCAGGAACCGAATTCATCCTCAAGGGTCGAACGCCAAAAGACACGGCCCAGCGAGAGACAAGGCGCGTTGAGCTGCGGGTGCGTAGCTCGATAATCTACCGCGTCCATTAGCTAGCTGACTGGGCCATTCAGCTGTTGACGTGGAAAAGATGCTCTTTGCATTCGATTAACGCTAGAAGTGGTGAAAGAAGGCTTCGGTCGCACGACATTCGTTCTGAGAGGGAGTATGATTTTGAGAATAAGACAAGGTGTGTCGCTGTGCCCATCGCTGTCGTGGACAATCTCTCTAATCCCAGATCAAGTCCCATGCAATATCTATTGACGAAGACGGCATAACATGTTCTACCTGATCCCTTTGCCTATCTCAACGCGTGCTTCTATCAAAAACCACCACCACCCGCCCATGTCGCGCGGTCACCCTCTCCAACCTGCTTCCTTACCCTACCCAACGACCTGCACCTCAAAGTCATGGACGAGGCCTTCCTTGTACCCACTCCGTGGCCCGCCAACCTGGCAGCACGGCCTCGTGTTCATTTGTCGCCGACTCTATGCGATAGCAATGCCTGTACTCTACCGCGATACCGACCTCCTCCGCGCTTTTGCGGTCCGCGATACACAATGTGCCCTGCTTTCGGGCGACGATTGTAGCGAGGCCTGAGCTAGATGCGAGTGTGGCTTATGCGTGAACAGAAGTGGCCGACGTCCTAGCGTCTGTGTCTTCTAGCGCGGGCTCTGGGCGGGTCCGGGTCACACGCCCGATCACGCCGGTCGTTCTCCCACGCTGCTTTTGGACTCGACCACCATGGCTATCGCGTCTCGCCTGCCCGTTTCGCCCCCGGCGAGCCTGCCTCTGCGCTCTCTCAAGCTTGCCGGGCGTGTTCCGCCTCTCTCCTCGGCTCTGCCACAGGCTCCAACGCCCTTTTCATGGCTCACGCGCGTCGTTGTCGTTTGTCGCTGTCGTTACTGGCTGGGATACTGCGAGCGCGCCAGCTTTTTCTTTCTTGGGCATATGCCGACTGGTCAATGGTGACAGTTAGCCGGATACTGCTCGTATAGCTTCCCCACTAACTGTTCCTCAAAAGGTCCTTGTCCATTGCCAGTGTCATACCGTTCTCTAAGTATTCAAGTTGTCACTTGGCACTGTGCAGGTGAGCCTGAGTGCTGCCCCGTAGATCGTACTTATCGGCCTTTGCTTACTAGTACTACATACACCATCGTCGTCTCCCTTTGCTACAAAATAAAACACGCAACACGTTGGCCGCACCCTGACCTGCTCCAAAGCTTCAATTGCATGAAGCCGAGCGTAGCCTCCGAACAAGGAGAAGCTGCTTGTCGACCGGGAGGACTCTCGCTATCCTCACTAGAACAAGGAAACATGCGAAGCAAGCCCATCGACGACAAATCTTTTGTTTGGATGGATCGGAGGCGGGCGGGTGGTGAATCCGCGCAGAGACGGTCTGAGAACAGGTGAGCGATCTCAACGAGTAGAGATATACGGAGCTGACCATATCCAAGCATTCTTGCTGATTCGACGTTGATGTCCCCGCCAGCGTCTGGTCCCGTTCCAAAAGAGCGACGACATGCGCATCAATATTGGTACCCGCTCGTCTGCCACGCGAAGGAGAGAACGGACCGCCGACTACAAGGATTCGATAATGCAAGTACAAGGCAAGTATCTGAAGCGTGTTAGTGCGAAGTACTTATTATGTGCCTTGCAGAATGTGCTCGAAAGCGGGTCGTCGCTCAGAATTTCGGGCTATGCCATGCCAAGTCGGAGGTGTGGGCAAAGGGCAAGCGTAATACTGGCCGCGGCGCGCCTTCAAGTTCATGCACGCTCGCTGTTCGTTTTCGTCCCAAGAAGCCCCCCGCCGTCGTGCGATTTCAAGCCGCGCCTGCCAACGCCGTTGCGACCAGGCGAAACGAAAGACAATTGGCACACGGCTCCCAGTCTTCAATTGCCTGAGGCAGGACATCCTGGTCTGAATCGAGCAACGGGATATGTGGATGACAGAGCTTATGGCCGGCGAGAACACATGCCCGAAAGGTTTATAGGTCATGTATCCAAGTTGTCAGTACCAAATGATAATGTTCTCGTATCGTACGCGACAGACAACTAAAGTAGGTATGCATTGTGATATATTCGAGAGAGGAAGAGAAACGGATATATACTCGTTGCCGCAGGGCGCGCCGAAAAGAAAGGGGAAGAGAGCTGGAAAGAGCAACGGGAGAGCAGATAGCACTGCAGTCTTCCGCCGCCACAGAATAACGACAAAGACTCAGACTTGCGCGGAAGCCCGTTTCCTCCAAGTGCCAAACGCGGAGCGAGAACTTAGGCATCTCCGCCCCTCCGGCGCTCCACATCACCCCCGCGACACAACCACTCTCCTCTCTACCAGACCAGACACCACCCGCCCACACCATTCCCCGCCGCCGCCCCCAAATCCACCTCCGCGCCATGCAAATGAAGCCCGACGAAAAGCGCGCCAACGACCGCCATCCGCGGCGCATAGCCCGGCCACAGCAATTATATAGAAGGCAGTCGACGCGGGGCAGCACCGCATACACGCGATAGAGCCATACGGCGCGCGCGCGTCGAGATACTTCGCAGGCGTTTTCGGCGGAGGGCGCACGTGACTTTGCCGTTTTGGGAAGGGTGGCCGAAGGGGTATGGCGAGCGCTGGCGCGAGTAAAGGGGGAGGTGGGGGATGGGGTGGAGATAGAGTGAGAGGAAGAGCGATAGGCTCTTTGAGCGTGGCGAAGGGGAGATTTGGGGTCGGTGGTGTGGCTGGGAAGTGGAGTCGGGAGATGCTCAGGCTGAGGGAAAATAGGCCGCCGCGAGAGCAGGCTTTCGAGGAAATCCAGTCGTCCGCGTTGACTTAAGGCGGGTTTTCGTGTTTCGTGGGCACAGGAGCAGCGATTAGCTTCAGGATTGTCGGAATCGTCTTCCTTGGCATGGATGTCGAGCGCATTCGTCTCTTCCGCAACTCAGCCCCAAGCCTTCGCGCTGACGTTGCGCGTTGAGACGGGGATGAGAATAGAGCGCTGAATGGACTCGTAAGGTGTAGAGGGAGCGAGGGCGCCGATATGGCGCCACATGCTGACGAAAGATGTGTGAGGAGAGTATGTGGCGGCAGACGACATAGACGCGGTTTAGCGGCGGTATGCGCTGCGTTGTCGCATGTGGAAAAGGATGAGAGGCGGGAGGAGTTTGGTGCGGATGTCGTCAAGTGACTGCTTTCGCGGGGGGAACGGTAGGTGGAGCTGGGTGAAGCGGCGAACGGGTCATGAAGTCTGGCGGGTCGGCGTCGTCGTCGCTCGCGGCAAAAGACAAGAGGGGCGGGAGGAAGGGCGGGGAGGTTGGGTGCAAATGTCGTCAAATGTGGATGCTTTCGCTGGCCAGTGGCGACCGAGCTGGGGGAAACGGCAGGGCTGGGGTGTGTGGGTAAAGTTAAGCGTGGAGCAGAGAGTGGTGCTGGTGGGATTTCTATCTAACGAAAGGCCCTATCAGCCGCGGAGAACGAGCAAAGACAGTTGTTTGGCGCACCATCCGTACTTCGACCAGAATGGGACCCGGGATGAGCCGACTTTGAAACGAGGCGCTCGCGTGGGTCTAGAGAAGAAGGTGGGCCGTCAGATATGGAGGACGAGAGGGTGGAGTCGCTTTGCGCACCAGTTGCCTGTGAGCGGCTCTGCGTTGTAGCTCTTTCTATGGTCCGTCACCCTAGCGATTCCACCTGTCCTAGCTTCATCTTCCGGGACATTGGTGTATGGAGCGGTTCGGCGGAGGGCAAGCGTGACGTCGGAGCAGGTCGTCGTGGTGGTGGTCAAGAAGAAAAAGGCCAGGAATGACTGGTGGTGGTGGGCAAGACGAAGGAAAGATCGACGTGACAAGCATCGGTTCTTCTTCCGCTCCTCCGCCACGGGCGACCGCCTCGCCTTCCCGGCCTTGAGAACCCGCGCTTCGCTTCGCTCAAGCACATGGGCTCGTCATAAACTCGCGCGCCGAGAGCTCTGGTGCGTTGTAGCCGGCCACACGGTGTTCCGCTAACTTCTTTTTCGTCCAGACTAGCAGCGTTTCTGGTGTATGCGATGGGGCGACGGCTTCTCGACGCTCGATAACCGTTGGGCTATATAGGGCACTTTGGGGCTCGGTGGGGTGAAGAGTTGGTAGTCGTTTTAGTGCGTTAAAGCCTTTTTGCTGCTTGTCTTTTCTGGCATCTACTCGTCGTAGATATTTCTGGAACCCTCCTCCAGTGCCTACTACGGCCCCAGACCACTTTATTCTCTAAATTCCGGAGCAAGAGGTGCTTCTGCTGGCTTGCCGAAGCTTCCTGTTGGACGACAACCGCCTGCATGGTCCGCCACAACACCGAATAAGCCAAAGGGTGTGGAGGAGTGCCGCGTCATCGAGAAGCAGCAGCATGGTGCGTGGCCTTGCGATATCTTTCACTCTGTCCGAATTCATGACGGACAATACACGAGCAATCACGGAAGCCGAGGAATCAAAGAGTTCTGGAGGATGCAGAAGCCGGCCTCAACCAGATGTGGCCATCGGCTCTAATCGTGCATGTGTTCTTCGTGTCGCTGGCCAGCTGCTCATAACTGTTCTTGGTAGTTTTGCACCCGGTTGTCTTGCGGCAACAACACAAACAAAAGCTACATACCTCCTTCCCCTCTCCAGAGCCAATCGACAAGCGAATCCTTGTCTGCGCTGTTCATATCGCTTTCCGGGAACGACATCTGTCCAGCCCACTCCCTCTTTTCCCAGCATCCTCTTCCGCGCCGCCCTCGAGCTAAAACGCTGCCCGAGAAATAATAAGCGACCAGTATTAAGCCCGCGAGCGAAGAAGGTCGTGGTTATGAGGTGGGACTGACGACAGTGGGCTACTTCGTGGATGACGAGGAATGCAGCGCCCGAGGTTGAACGAGATGCGCCTAGATACGCGTCCGCGGCACGTAAGGTAGGAAGCGGGTGTCTGGCCATGTCGCCGGCGAGCCCCGGGCCCGGCCGGAAAAGAGGCCGGAGTCGGGCGTTTATGCCGTTCTTTGGCCGTCGTCTCCCCGAGCCCAGCATCCTTCCTTTCTCTCCCTCAACTCTATCCACCGGTACCCACCGGTGCGTCTGTCCCGCTCCTCCTACCCCCGCTCCACTGACTTTTCACCACATAGTCGATCTATGAACGATCTATGGGCGGATCTGTCTGCGCAGGGTCCCGCGTCTCACCGTTTGAGCCCTGCTCAGGCCTGCATACTCTCCCCGAATGCCCCGCTCCGCCCTATTTGGTCCACTCGCGGTCCTCGACAAGCTCGCGAAAGTTATCCCGTTTGGCGCGCGCACCACTGGCACCCGTTCGACCGCCCTACCGCAACCGGGGACTTGAAGCCGCCTCGTCTGAAACGTCCTCAGCGCGGAAAGATGGGCATTGGCTGAGACGATTCGGATGTTTGTATGCAATGCCCTCCGGTTGTAACTAATTGTAATTACATTAGAATGGAGGATTCAGAAAGGCGAGGCACCAGTATCGTATCGATATCGGGACGCGACAAAGAAATGGAGTAAGTACAGTAAGTACTACCGAAACGAGTATGTGCAGTGAGAATATATGTAGGCCCTCGACGCGGAAATCTAGGCTGGCCGTATTCGAAAGGGAGAGAAAGCGGTACTGCGGTCGAAAGGGAGGAGGTGATACGAGATAGAAGGAGCAGCGGGAGCATAAGTCGTTTCACTGGCCGCCGCAGATATCTGGCGACAAGACCGCCATGTAAGCCGCGCTCGCGCCAAGTAACACCAAACGGGGGAACGAGTGAAGCGTTTCCGCACAGTTTACTCTCCGAATCCCCCACCACCAGCACCACCAAGCTCCCGCCCGACACGCAATACACCCCGCCCCGCCCTCGCCGCACATCCTCCTCCACACCACATTCACAGCATCCGCCGAACCCATCCCCAACGACGGGCCGCTGGGGCTTATACCGCAGCCCAAAGGCCATAATTGTCAAGCCCTCGATGCGCGGCAATACGAGGTACGCCCGATAGAGCGATACACGTCGCGCTCGTCGAGATGCATAAGTATCGGTGGCGGCGCCGGAGGCCCGGCGAGGCACGTGATCTTGCCGGCCGGGCAAGCGATGGATGGTGCAGATGTCAACGGGCGCGGGGAGGAGCCCGGGCGGCTGGCGAGGGCGAGGGAGATGGATATGGAGGGATGTGGGCTGGACACGGAGGAGAGGCCGAGGGAGAGGGCTTGTTGGGCGACATGAGTTAGAGGCTGTCGCGTGGGTGAAAGAGAGATGTGGGCGATGGAACGACGGTAGAGAGGGTGGACGTCGAGGGAGAGGGAGACGGGGAAAAGCTAGAGCGAGAGCTTTGGTTGTGCGCGCGAAAGTTGGAGTGGGGGGTTTGGGCGCGGGATGAGTTTGGGGTCGTTTGGCGCGTTGTCAGCCAGTGGCTGGTGGAAAGGCTAGGCGGTGAGACCGGTGAATGGGCGGTATGGGACAAGGAGCTTCATGGACTCGAGACGCGAGCAGTAAGAAGGGAGCGGCCGCCGCGGAGGAAATAGAATGGAAGAGGTGCTGTCGTTTTTGGGGCCAATCTGGCTGTTGACGAAGGGTCAGCATATCTTCGACAGTGAATGCGGCACGCACCCCGGAGCCAGTCTACCCATCGGCCTTCACGCAGATACTAGCCCTCCAAGCAGCCTCCGACTCCTCCCATCCGCGGCATGCGTGAGCTGCGAAAACGCGTCAGCGATGCCCGCGCGGACAGCCGGGCTAGACATACTGTGGCGCTAAGTGAAGACGACTACTTGGACCAGGGGACCTGAAGGCGGTCGAGGGCGGGAAGATGTCGGGAGATGAGAAGGGACATGGGAGTCGGGAAGAGAAAGGGAATGAGTGTGACGATCGATATCAGATGCTTTGCGGGCCTCGTGCTGCGCGTGCGCGTGCGCGTCGTGGAGCAGCTGAGCGGCGCCGGCGTGCCAGTGCGGCGGCGCACGTTTGGGTGGACGGAGACCCAAATGCAGAGGAAGATGGTGACGAGGCAGCTCCAGATGATGTCGAAAAGCAGGCGGCAGTTGTGGATGTCGTTGCATTCGGCAGTGGGTTGGGCCCGGGCCACTGCGCGGGTCGCGGTGAGCGGCAGAGGAAACAGCATTTGCTGATTGCGGCTGGCAGGTCTTCTGCAGATAGACGCTGATCATGAGCACTTGAGCATTGAGATGTTGTACACAGTGGGAGGAAAAGGGAACCCGGACCGGAAGTGATCAGATTGTAAGCGTGACACTTTACTTTCTCTTCCGCACCACGACTTGCCGTTGGGAAAGCACACCCAAGCCTCGGTATCATGCTCATGGCTTAGCCCAGAGCCATACACGTCCGCACAAGTCCCCCACCGCAGGCCAAGGGACGACGGCTGGAATTGGGACAGACAGTGGCATTGACCACTCACCAAACTTCAAAGGTCGGAGCCGAAAGAGCCAGCGAGACGGGGGGCAATAGGTGCGTGATTCACTTTGTCGTTGGTACTTATCGTGCTTCATGCTAACTGGTCAGTGCCGCAAGCTTTCTCCGTCCCGCTCGTTGCCATGTCTTGCTGAACACGCTAAACTCCACCGGCACCCCTTCCTGGAATGACACACGCTCTCTCCATTGGCGTTTGAAGGCCAGAAATAAAAAGGGGAAAGAGCGAAGAGAGACGAGATGGGAAGCAGGAAGCGGGAGCTAGCCAGAGACGGGGAGACAAGGTGTGCTTTTCACCATCTACGCCGATTCCAAGCAAGCTTCCCGTTGGGCACAACCTCCATATCCACCCATGCGCTGGCAGCGCTGCGGCAAACGAATACTCGAACTGGCGGACAATCGTGGACGACACGATGGGACGGTAGTGAGCTTTTAGCAGCGGAAGAGGGCTGGTTTGAAGGTGCGCCTTTTTCACTGCATTTCCGCCCTCCTCTTACCGTCTTAAGCAGATATTCATCTCGACTGCTACACCTCCCGGACTGCTACACCCCCCGCGCTCGTTCTTCGATACAGCAACTCTCGTGTCGTGTCTTGCCGTGGGCCAACTATGGCCACCGTTTATGTCAGCAGTAGTGCGCGCTACCCAAGCGCACTGCGGAGCTATGCGAATGTAGAGAAGTGGGGAGGACAAGCTCAATGGGGCTGGGAGGAAGAGCAATTGTGTCGGGGCTGGTGTCCTGCAACTGTCTATCGACACCAGCAAAGGACTTCAATACCTTCAACGCGTCCGCCGTCATTCAGAGCTGACGGACAGTACTCGCTCTTAAAAGCGCTCGGGAATGCTTTGGGAAGGAGAACAACTGCCTCGGTATGTCTGCTTGTCATCGACTCCGGCTGAGCTGACGCGTTTTTGCAGCTTACTATTGAGGATGGCTTGCTGGAAACGGAAGAGTTCGGGCCCTGCGGGCGACCACCATGTGTGAGAAGTTACAGCCGGCGAGAGAGGTGTGTTGCAGCACCGAATTCCTCGCAAAAACATTCTGACCTTGCTCATACTAGACTTCATCCACTTCCGTTACCTCCGCAACTGGTGCTACCTTTGTTCCTCACGTCTATTGGTGCGTTACTTGACCCCGCTCAAGTGTTCTGGCTCACCGACGGGCTTGACGTCAGTTCGCTTACACTGTCGCGGACAAGTCTAAAAGTGAGGAGTCCTCTTCAGCGCTAAACCCATGCCAACGACGGATGCACAGCTGTTCTTATTCCGCACCCAGCGTAAAGCGCTCTTCCCCACTGACCTCAATGCGGATGACTGCCTGGCCATACTGTCGGAGTATGACTCGAATCCACCCACCGCACGGACAGACGCCCATCTAACTCATAAATCGCCTATTTTTCATCCTCTTATTTACCTCCTTCGTCTCCGCCTCCATCCACCTTGCCTGTGCTCGCCACCTTCGCCATCCGCGTCGCTTTCGGCCATCGGCCAGATCACGTGCCAGGCCGGCCTCCGCCGTCGGAAGGCCGATTTGTTCTCAATACATCTCGACGATTGTGACGATGTATCTCTCCCGATACAACAGCTGGGGCTCCCGCCGCCGTATCTCCATGCGAACCACAGTGTATCCTCTCTACCCAATTCTTTTGGTCGTCCTATCCGAAGCAGAAGGCTTTCGTCGAGCGCATTTTCTGGGCAGCCGACCGACAGGCCAAATATTTCGATGTATCTCTCCCGGTACAGCAGCTATGGTTCCCGCTGCTATACGCCCTCCCGACAACATCTTAGCTCTAGCAAATCTTTCCGCTGCGCTATTTGAAGCGGGGAGTCTTTGTCGAGCACATTTTCTGGCAAACAACGGCGGGCATGTAGGCGGGGTCTTCGCGCTGCGTAGTAGTATCCGGGCTCGAAAGGGTGTTCCATCATAAAGATCAGGGGTTATCTAGATGATAGAGAATGTCCGTTTGAGCATGCTGTGTTACTATCGTTGGCCTTCACGTCTGGTGCCACCGGTTTAGAACGAATCCAACGATACTCTATCTAAGTCTTTTGCTAGTCTCTTTTACTTTATGACCACATTTTTGTCTGTTTATCGACCAAGAATTGAAGCATCTTTATATATCAAATGTTGTACAACAACTCAAGCATATTATTGGTCAACACCCCAGTCTTTCAGCTTCTTGCACTCCCAGGATTTCCGCGTTGGATGGCCATTTGGCATCACAACTTCGACGCCAAACGTTCTCTGCAGGTGCTGCAAGTCGCGGATGTCCGCGTCCGGAATACCACATGGCGCAAACTCGACGACAAAGCGCGCGAGCTTCAGTTTGCGCTGAACAGGGTCGGAAGACATGTCCGCCGCGGCTGCACGCATGGCGATTCCGTCCAGGAACGGACGGATGTTGACCGGGGCTGGCGTGGAGGCGGGGATGACGAGGGCGAACGATTCGAGGTTGGAGAGGAGGCTCAGCTCGGCCAGAGACGTGGAGCACTTCTGTTCCTCGTCGCGGCTCATGGGAAATGCGGTCACGGTCAGATGTTTGACTGGGTGGACCGTGTGTGAGGTGAGGAGAGCATGGAAGGCGGCGTAGCTGGTCGGCGTGAGGAGAGACAGCGAGGTCACAGTCGCAGCGGAACGCAGGACACCGGGGTCGATAGAGGACTCGATGATGAAATCCTCGGGGTCGTAGAGGTGGAGAGTTGTTAGGGCAGGCAAGAGGAGGTGGTTGAAAATGGAAGTGCGGTCGTCGACCACCAGCGACAAGGTCGACAAGCGGGGCAGGAGTAAGTTAGAGGCTGGTAGGTCTGCTTCTTCGAACAGCGAAGGGAGCGACAGCTCCTCCAGCGCCGCAAGATGAGTAATTACAGAGAGGACTTCGGTGTAAGTGGTTGGACGAAGAATTGTCAGTTTTTGCAGTTGATGGGCGGGGAATGAAAGTGTCAAGACCAGGCTGGGAATGCTGATGGAAAGCTCTCGGAGACGGGGAGCATTAATTAATACGGGGTTCTCGCCACTGGCAGTGTCGATGGGGCGCCAAATGTCAAACACCAACTTGGTCAATAGGGGGAAGTCGACTTGTGCATTCGGCGTGTCTGATTCTGGGTCGGTAGCCGCCCAATTGACGGGCCACTTGATGCTGGACAGGGATGCTTCCGCCCATTGGGGAGCGGAGTCGAATATACACCGCGGAAGGTCAAATGACTCATATTCGTTGGCCTCTTCGGAATTTGAGAACACAACAGGGAGTCCTTGTGTCCGCCGCAAGAAGTGCTCAGCGAGAACATCGCGCTCGCGGTCTATTAAGTAAGAAACACGCGTCCAGAGGTGCGGATGCGCGATAGCCGTCCGCCGCCAGCGTTGACAGACAGCGGTAATTCGTAGTAGCGTGCGGTTAACGTCGAGGGAGGGAGAGGAGAACACTGCTGCCGCAAAGATGTGGCACAGCATTTCGGCAGGGAGAGTGTTGATTGGGTAGACGACAGTAGATAGGTCGTCTTGGAGCGCTTCGAGACGGTCTTCGAGCATTTGCAGCTGGGTTTTCAGTTGATGAATCGTCTTTTTGACCTGCTCTGCCTCGTCTCTCAGTTGAGAGATGATCGCACCATCAAGAGGAGGTTCTGGTCGGCGAGGGGCACGGAAGAATGAGAGTATCTGGGCGGCATCGCGGTCAGACATTGAATGAGAAGGCTGAAATGATCTCAATAGACGTGAGTCACGGTAGTATTACTTCAAGCCAAGCAGTGAATAGATAAACGGGGGGCTAGAGCATGACTTACGGAGGAGCCGAGATGCCCAAGATTAGAACAAGAACGGGAAGAGACTTTTCTGCGGTCTGGTGGAGGTTGTTGTCAGCGAAGATTGTCGCGTGTCACACGTCATCACTCTTTCCTCATCTCCACCACCCTCGGTCAATTCCGTGGCTCAGAATGCCCACGAGCCGGCCTTTCACGATCCACGCATCGCCAAACAGACCTCCAAGCCAACTCTAGAACACCGAGAGGGACGTATAGGAGTTGGTGACGGAACGAGTGCAGAGGTGGGGGAAACTTGAATGTCGAGGTGTGTATTCCACGCTCTGTCCATTGGCTGTCTCTTCTCAACCATATCCTTCTAGCTTATTCCACTCGATGCGGCCCTGTCCCGCGGGCACGATCGCCACCCACGCTCACCCTCAGGCTTCCACACCGTTCCGACATCCCCGTCTTCGACAAGAGCAGTCATTCGCGCCACGACTGGCAAGCGTAGACGCCAACTCGTGTGGATGGATTGGGAAGCCGCTGGGGCGGATACTGGGAGAGAGCAGCGTGTGTTTTCAAGTGCTTTCGATGTTTATTTCCTGCTTGACTGGCCAAACAGTTCCGTCGCGGAAATCTTCAGCCTGAGAGCATGGGTGCGCGCCAATACTTCCACGTGAAGCAGTGCACTACTCACCAGCTCGCTCGCAGCAGCCCCTTGAGACGGGTCACGGGCCCCAAATCTTCGCGCGGCCAGACTAGAAGCTTGGAGGTTGAGAGAGTGTGTGCTGTCCTGGATGAGCTACGGATGGAGATGAGTAAAGCTTACCGCTTTCTGGCTCTTGCATACTCAATTATCTTGGTTTGGATAGCCAGACGCCCTCTGCGTCTCACCGCAAATACCATACACCTCCCTCACGAATGGTCCTGCCGCTCGTCAAGCTGTTTTCGCGACCGCGGTCTTGATATTCAAGTCGGCACCATCGCTCAGCAATGCTCCTTTCGCCATTCTCTTTCAATACCACGGCTTGCAATACTGCGCAAACAACAACGAAATGCCCAAACGAACACTCTATCTATTCCCCCAGGCCCTCAAACCCGGTTCTTCAGCGCCGTTCATCCACTTACAGCGCGTCGCGCTGGCGCTCGTCTTACGCCCACACAACCTGGCTTTGCAGAACACGCCGGGTTGTTTCGCCGATACTGCGGGTGCTTCTTTGGTAGTTTGTGAACGACGGAAACGGATTACCGCTCCAGTAACCCCGGGCCTCGAATCGTCGCGGACACGGTAGAGAAAAGGCTCCTCTCGGCAGGCCCGTACGGTATCTTGGTGATTATCTTCCGTGTATTGTTTATACAATCCTCATATATTATATTCAGTTCCGAACACGGTCGTTGCGGCGGGAGCGAATCGTGATCTCCCTCGGTGTGTCATGCGGCGGCGGCGCAGTGTTTACCACCAACGCAGCCTGAGGGGATCCGGAATCAACAACCGCCGGTGCTGATTCGGGCGGGGGTTGTTTCCCTTGGCCAATTCAAAGCAAAATCGTGCCAGTTCGACGGCAGTCGCTCCTGATAGGTATTATCATTCGCTCAACTGCTGTATAAATGCCTGCGGCAGCTACACCAGCGACATCTTCTGACCTCGACTTCAAGTTCCACTACTCAAGGTCGGTCTCTATTTTCTCTATGAATTGCTAAAGGAATGCCGCATATGTAGAAACACCTCCATGCAATTCACCGCCCTCTTTGCCTCCCCTCCTTGTCACCTGCGCCGCCGGCAGTGCCAGCGCGACCACCCTGAAATGGCACGCTGGCGCGGGCTGTACCGGGCGCCGTCATCGCAACCCAACCCGCCGCGAAGGCGGGCCAGTGCGTGCTCCTCGCCAAGGGCCGCACCGCGCCGCAGCATTTCGTTCAACGGCGCCAAGGGGATCGACTTCTTCGAGTCGGGCGGCAAGCATGACAACTGTGCGAATGGTGCGCAGGCGAGCAGCAAGAAGAACTCGGGCTGCGTGACCGCGCCGGCTGGGTGCGTGTTTTTGCTGATAGTGTTGGGAGAGTTGGCTGACGGGAATGGTTTTAGATTCAACTGGGCGAGTGTGCGCCTCCGGTAGAGGGGAGGGAATTGGTTATTGGCGCCGGGCGCTAATATTCCCGCTGGTGGAGAGCGGACTTTCATATGCGCATGCCACTATTTTTAGTACTGAAATTTGTTTGATTGGATTAATTCTCGGTTAGAATTTCAGTTACAGAACAACAAGTTATAAGTCGTGCTGGACCCCACGGGCAAACACGTCACATTCACTAATACCTACATATATATGCAGCTGACCACAGCTCAAATACATCCAAGGTGGTACACCAAAAGCACACAGTAAACGACAGTAAGTATTGATAGCATGAAAGTCCTCCAAAAGCTATCACGCGTTAGCCAAACGCCGTTGGACAATCTAACACCATCGCCAGCATGAAATCTGCTGCAACTCCCTCAGGCTAAAGACGCGGGAAGCACGCCGTCGTATCGTATCGCCTACAAGGCTTGGGCAGCCAATAGACCCAATGCTCTTGGTCGCTGGCCGCCTTTGCAAGGCTGGCGACGCCCAATGCGAGGCCAAAGGAATGATGAGAGGCCCAAATCTTGCCCAAAGACATCGATAGGAAGACGCGTGCATGCACGTGCATAAGGAGATCCACCACGGATTGCCAGGTCTAGCGAAAAGGGCTTCGACAGTCTTTGAGCCGATGTCGGAGAAAACGGTGTCGACGAGGGTTTTCCTGGGCAGATAGTCACCCGGAAAGAATTGGGGGGCACAATGGACTGATGCTGCGCCACGAGATACACTCGATAGACGCGTATGTGGTGCATGGCCAGAGCTGAAAGTCGTTTCGGGCGTGACGTGAGGAAGAAGGGAACGAGAAGTGTCGCTGGTGTTGGCGGTGCATGCGCAGAGGCTTCGAACAAGAATGGATGGCACTTGGGGAGGTCTATAGATGTCGGAGGATAACATGGGCGAGTTTTTAGTGTGTCGATTT